GTTAAACAAGAACAAGAAGAATAGAAAGAAAAACCAAAAGCAAAGCTTATCTGAACAAAGGAAGTAGCCTTAATAACAAAAAAAAAAATTGTACTAAACAATAAAACATATAACTAATTTCACACTATTTTTTTCTTTTAAACTACAAACTTTTCATGATTCTATAGAATTCAACAGAATTTTTACTGAGGTATATACAAATGGGATTCAATCAAGTATATACAGATTTAATAAAACAATTACCACCTTCATTACTAGAAGAATCGTAGAGACGTTTAACTACGAGAAAGCGCAATCCTTTGACAGAATTAGAAGCATGTGGTATAGATCCAGATATTGAAGATTTTTTGCAACATGAAATTATAGTTTATAATAGGAAAAAAGAACGTCAACGTCGAAGTCCACCACCTAAATTTTATCATATAATACCGAAGCTAGTGTCAATACATATATAGACATGGTTAACCAAGAAATACAAATTTCAGATACCAACACCCATACATGCGATTATGAGGATGAGATCAATCGTCGCGTTAAGAAAGAGTTAGATAATTTTTCTCAATAATTGTTTGAATACGATGAAAAAACTTTTACCTCTTTTATGCAAGAAATTACTAAACAACTTGAGGAGCGGGTTAATACTAATAATAAATCGAGCAACAGAAATTGAAATTGCAAGATATGGAAATAAAACTTGCATCCTTAAAATCGAGATCTACTTATTAATGAATGTTTTAATATAACTGAAAAAATAATTATGTGACGAAGACATTAGTTCCGCATTATTGCTTATTTTACTTATCTAATAATACTGGGTTCTTGTTTATCTAATATTATATCTAATGTTGGGTTACGGACTATATCACACACAGCATTATCTGTGATTCTGCAATCAAAAGACAAGTCTAGGTATCGAAGTTTTACACATGAGCGTGCAATTGCAGAAATTGATATATCTTTGATAAAGGTTGGGAAGAGAAGTTTAATAAATTAGGTTGGGATATGTTCGTGCTATTTCAGCATCAGTAAAATTTATATTACGCAAGGAAGCAAGGCTTATATATTCTAATTTTGAACAAGATCGTGCTATTTCAAATATGCATTTATCAGTAATAGCTTTAAATGCATTAAGACTCAGATGTAGTAATTTTAGACAACATATTGCAATTTCTAAATCGGTATATTACTACGTATAAGCATAACATTGATCAAGAATAAAAAAAACATATATTCGAACATAAATGTAAAATTGCACTGAGTAATGCATCTGAGATTTTTAAACCTTCCAATTTGAGATATACCATCTTTGAGCAATAAAGGGGCTTTATTTTTTCACACATAGATCTTTTTAACTTCATCAGTCGCCAATAAAGAGCTCCAGATATAATTTTACTATGCCGGCTTTGTTGACAATCTGCTATAAAAAACTCAATGCGTTCCAATAGAATTGGGGCACTACAGTGATACCAAAGGTGATATACAAATAAAGCAGGATAGAACGCTTTATTCTTGGCTAAGAACTGAATATATTTTCGAGTAACTCCGGAAGAATGAGAGGATGGGTCATGTTTAGTTCTTTATATAAGCATTAGGAAACTTGAAGTGATTTTTATATCCTTAGCACGCTTTATTCATCTAATTTTAGAGGTGCGTCCCATCCTTTCCTTATGTATAAAGGATTTTCTTTTGCTCTGGTTAAATCAATTACAATGAATTCTCGACCTTGGAGATTTTTATCAAGGATATTAACAACATTACGCCAATTTTTTGTGTATCGCTGAGCAATATTAACAAGCTCTTCATATGTGCCCGAGCCGTTAAATAAACTCTTGTCATCTTCATAATAAGGCTACACAAGATGTCACGAGTTTGATTTAAATCGATTACGTACTTATTTAAGAGTAGTCGACCTACCACTTAAAAAATGTGTTGTATTTTCTTTTTTCCTCTTATATTTCTATTTACATTCGTTGCATTCCTTTCATAATTGGCATGATTGACGCGACTTCTATATTGATTCTGTTTGTTGGGTATATTCTTTAATGAATGGAATAAACACATATTTTTGTGAAAACCATATATATATTAATATTAAGTAATGCTTCGTTAGACTTTTCATTTTATTTAAAATAATGAAGAAAAAAAATCCACCCGAAACGCTTCAAAGTCTCCTCAAATATGAGCACAAGCCTGGTCAGGCGCAAAGGTTTCTCGGTACAGTTCAAATTTTTCTTTATATACATGAAAGCATAGTGGCAATACATATAGTAAAGTTTTGATGTTTGTTTTATTTAACCTATCGTAGCTCGCATGGGAAAGAATTTCAGATGGCCCTTCTCCATGCCAGAATATCTCAGAAGGCATGCCTTCAAAAAAATCGCTGACGTTGAGTTCGAATTTGATGACGAAGTCGGATTTAACTTCATATTTTTCTACAACGCACTCGATATGGGTGAATTTACGGGACATGAAAACGAGTGGGTGACGGTATACAACCAGAAGGTAGTAGAGTATGGAAAGGAGTATAGCGATGATCAATTGGACTACGTTCTCGAAACTATGCCTGGTGCCATCCAACTCCCGGTTGATCAGACACGTCTGCCACGTAGCAAGCCAGCGAAGATGGCTATTTCTAAGCGTGCTAATAGTGGAGATGATTACAAGGTTTGAATGCGTACTTAATGAGAAGCATTATCTTTTATAAGATTTAGTTTTTAGAATTTGTATAATTTTTCAAATTACAGTAATTTGATCTCTAAATAAAGATCAGGATTCGCATCAGAAGACCCAATGAAAATAATTTAATCGCTATTTTTTCGTATGATTTTTATGATACCATGAATAACAACAAAAAATATAAGTGCGTGGTCAATGCAGGGGCTCCGGAATCCATCTTGCCATTTCATGTTAAAAGGATACTTGGGAGGCAGGGATGGCATACAAACCCAAGAAGAGCTGGGGTTATGGAGCACCTGCGGAACAAGTTTGTGCGTGTAGGATATTTGAGGTGTCTATTGTTACTATTGTAAATTGGGAGAGCGAGTAACAGTGCACGGTTTAGCTCCAATAGTTAACGTGGTTGGGATCTCACTTAACCAGGTGGGATTCAAGCATTAATGATAGTTAGGATTAAAGGAAAGGCAGACCATTGTTTTATGTTACTTTATCAAGAAGGACATTAACTCTCTTTTTTACTAAATGAGACAGCCTGTGCTTTTATACATTTTACGATCTTAAGAGGCCTGACCTGTTAGAGGCTTCATGCTATCACTTTAGCCTCACACAGCCTTTACATAAACTAAAACTCTAACAATGGCATTGCTAAAAATCACTAATAAACTTTACTAAAAAATCATTTTAAGTAAAGTTGCCTAGATGATAAATTTGCTATAGTATGGTTGACCAGCATTATCGCTTAATACCAACTAACTCTGATGAATTTCGACCCGGAATTTTGGGTCGATCCGTTGAATTTTGGTTGCGCCACTAATCTGCTCTATTATTTGTCATAAGTTCCAAGGGGAGCCAAAATCCACTGTGACAAGTATTTTTACTATTAAAAGATTTAACTGTGCTGCTGTAAATAACCTTTTATGACCGTTTCGATGAGAAGATTATTCTATTGAATCCAAATCTGGTCACAGAATCACGAGATATAGGATGGGTTAAACCCATCAGGGTTGCAATTATAAAAAAAAAATAGTTGTGAATCTGAGGTAAACTTTAATTAGTCGGGAATTTGAATAAACTATTAAGAGTTATCATTTCGATGAATAAAATATGGAGATGCTGGCCATTTTCTTTTTCATTGAAATTCTCACTGAATGAATTTTCATTTAATCAATCACGTTGAGGAGCTGCTTTTAATCACCTGATCAAGTGATGGTAAGGCGAGATTAACTGGATTCTGTGTTTTACATTACTCCCCCCTTTCAGCGTTCCCCCTCTCCATCATAGTAAAAAAATTTAGATAAATATACGTTTTTTTTTCTTTTTGGTTACGAATAATACGATTACTAAATCGATTAATTTTGCAAAAAAAAAAAACAAAAAAACAAAAATATATTTAAAAAAAATAGTGATTTTTAAACAAACAAAACACTTCTATGAAAAAAAATTGTATTATAATGCCAATAAAGATTTAAATAAATTAAACAACAACCACTTTCTTCTGTCAAAACCAAATAAATAAATAAATAAATAAAGTTTTTTTTAAAAAAAATTTTAATGTAAAGCTGGAGTGAAAAAATTAGCTATATCAATAGAACGATCTTCGAGATAATCAGAAAGTACATTAATATAAGGAGGATGTGAATAATCTTCAAACCAAGAATCGATATATAACGAATCTAGGATAGCTTTTGTATTTTTCAGAAAATTATTCATCGATTTTGCACCAATGAATATCCATATATTAAGATGTTTTAAAGTAATAGGTAAATGTTTTCCTAATTCTGGCCAGATTTTATCAATGTCACTTTCTTGTTTACCTGAAGAGAATAAACTAAGAATTTCTAATCTACATCCTGGAGCATTAAAAATTTCTATCAATGATGGAATATCATCGGTATTAACAGCAATACCAAATTTTTTCAATTTCGGCTGCCATTTTGTAATACTTTGTATGATAGAAGTAGATAACACATCATGTTCTTCATCCTCCCATGGTTGATAATGTAGTTCATCCAAATCCACAGGGTTTTTTTGAATTACAGAAGCAATAAGATGGCCCCAAAGATGTGAAGATTCCACGACTCTTACCTTTCGGAGATTAGGGAAATCGGCCATCAAAATTTGATCCAATTGACAACCTGGACCGTTAGTACAACGGGCAATAATCAATTCTTCAAGATTTGTACAAATAGTCAAGGCATGGATAGAAGAATCACCTGGGAAAGGAATTCCATGAAGATTAAGTGAAACAAGTGTGTCAGCTTGACTTGCAAGTGGAGTCAGAATGGATGGAGAAAAACCGTTAACAGTATCGTAACACATAAGAGAGAAAGCTCGTAATTTAGATTGAGAAAATATCAAAGAAGATAAATATTGAAAATCCTCAAAATTACGAAGGCTCGCTTCCGAAGACTTTATAACAGTTAAATATTCGATATTTTCAGCTTGTTTACGAAGTGCATCGAATAAAAAGTGATCGGAAGTGTAACGAATAGTTAAGTTTTTAATATTTTGAAGACAAAGATCAATTCCCAAGGAATCTTCCATATCGGGAAAAGAATGCTTTGTTGGACGATCCAATTTTAGTGAAGTGATAGTCGACTTGTCACCGAAAAATAGACGACACAGAGCACAATATACCGAAAGGGCGGAATTATTAATTCCAGAAACACTAATAATAAAAAAAGGGAATTAGCTTAGGTGAAAAATTGAATAAATAAATGAATAAAACATAAAAACGCACCATTGAGAGGATATGGAGCTGCGTCTTTTTATCGACTGTCGCATAGTCCAATTTTGAACAATAGAATAAAGACTTTCTAAACTAAGATGCGGAATGAAAGAAGCGTAATCAAAAGTAGGAGGTTTTTTAAGTTGAGTAGATAATTTAATACCATTTTGGACGAGAACAGATTTTTCATCATCAGAGAGACATGCAACAAGAACATTTATAAGTGAAGGGGCAGGGGGAGTAGATCGTTTAAAAGGATGCGACCATAGATATGGAACTGCAGTTTCGCACCAAAGTCTATTAACTAGAATGCAAGAATGAAGAGACTTGATATCATCTTTGAGAAGATTGAAAATATCATATAGGCAATCGGCGGGAAGACGAGCAGAATGGGCTTGTCGTTTACGACCGAAAAATCGAAACAAAGATTTCTTGCGTTGTAAGGCACTCATTTATCGTAAAATTTTCTCTTTTTTTTTTTTTTTTTTTTTTAAAAAAAAAATTTACCTCCTAAATTAATAGTGGATCGAAAAATAATAAAAACAAAAATTAAGGAGTCGAGAAGAGAGGTGAAATGAATAAGGTCAAACCAGTGACGATAAAATCAATAGGCACGAGCTTGCTTTTTGTAACCATTCATATATTGTAATGGACCACAAATTTACAATGATAATATTAAACGCAGATGATCATCGAAACTTCCTAATGTTACACTACTCTCGAGCTAAGGTTCTTTGTCTTTCATACAAGATAGGCCAAGAACAACTGTTATTTATATAGGATGAATAATTAATTTTAACTAATAATTAAAAAGAAAGACTTCGAGTGAAAAAAAAAAAAAGAATCAAAATGACACAAAAAATAAAAATAAAAAAGAAATAACAAGAAATAACGAGAAATAACGAGATATAACGAGATATAACGAGATATAACAATAATATGTAACAATAATATTTAAGACCTGATTTCAATTCATTATTATAGTACCTTCCTCAGGACACGGACCCACTTTGGATCATGGATTCAAATTCTACCTGTCTTACATATCAAGGAACAATTTTGATTACAGTATTCCTCGTTGTACTGCATTTGAACTACTTTAAGGCCAGTAAATCCTATGACTTGTGTACATACGTACTAGCTAGATTAATTAAAATAAGCAGAAATTTTGCACAAATCATCTTGAAATCCAGAACTAATTACTATCACAAAAAACAAAATTTTTTACGTAATTACAAATTTTATTAGCTCATTAATTTACATGTACATAAAAGCCAGTGATTTTTCGATAATATATATATCAGTCACTGTTACGTAGATAAAAATTTGCCATTATTCTCATTTACTTTGAGTTGTTAAAAAAAAAAAAAAACAAATATATCTTTTTTCATTAAAAACGTAATATTATTAAAAAAAGGAAAAAGCATGCAAAAGTGATTCTTATCCAACGAGATAGCGAATTTCCCGTTCAATGAACCTATAATAAAGTTATGAGGGCATATAACTGGTATGAAATACATGTATACTACAAAATTGGTTGGATCTTCAAGGATAATATAAAGCAAGTAACCTGCGAAAAATAGGAGACAACATTTTGACAATTGCTTTAATTAATACAATAGGATAGAATATATTTCTAAATATGATTCTGCATTTTTTTTTTTTTTTTTATCTATTAAGTTCATATTGATTTTTATTTTCTATGACTTTTAATCACATGAACAACTATATTTTTTAAAACTGGTAGCTAATACTAACTCTAATTATAATCTTATTCAGCTACAATTAACTTTATTTTGAAGGGGAAATGTGTGAAATAGGTAGCACAACCTAGTACTCAGAAACCCAAGAGTTATTATAATAATAACTATAATCGTATTAGAGTTTCTCTCTATACGTATACGTATAAAATAAACATTTAGGATAAAATTATTATCGATACGTATAAAAAAATTTTTAATTATGGACTTATTAACCAAACTATATCGTTAGAGATAGTCTATAACTACCAATAATATAACTCAGCTAAAATAAGATTATGAATTGTATCAGAGTTGAAACAACCCATTTAAACAATGGCCTTTATAAAATATCGTTTTTGATTCACATTTTATTAAAATTTAATTGGTCAGGCAATATTTTTAACGAAGCACCAAAAGACACTTTTAAATAATGCGTGTTGGCGCAGTAAATGGCCACTATATTAATAGGTCGTTTCAACTATTCCTAACCATTTTAATGATATTAATAAAAGCCTGGCACCTTACGATATTATCTGGTGCATTAACTAATTTCTCCTATAGTTTCTATTGGTCATCAAAGTATTTATTTACCGATCCAACCAATTACAAGTTTAATAATTTTTCCTATTTATCCTAAAAATTTTCGATTAAAATTTTTTTTATTAAAAAAAAAATCTTTATTTTGGTTTTACGTAGTAATTAAAATTATTAAAAATTACATAAGTAATTTATTGTAAATATATTATGGCATTTATCGTTATAGCAAGGATGCTACGTATTATAGTTTACTACCCTTTTTCAGTGATTGTAAGTGACCTGGTCATTTGATGTGAATTTAAATGATCCAAAGTCATCAAATTATGGCTAGGCCATTTGGATATAAATAACTTATGCGAATCAATATATGAATTAACAAATTCGAATTTTATGTGAATTAATGTGAATTATTCGAGTTATGATAATTCAAGTTCAAAATAAATAAATTTAGTTGAAATCGGTTGTAGAAAAATGAGTGCTGCCAAGGGAAAACCTGAATCCGGAAAGTACAGGTTATTAAAATCATTAATGATTCATCGTGATGATAGTAACCTGTACTTTCCGGATTCGGGTTTTCCCTTGGCGCAAAAGCAAGGCTATGTTATAATAAAAACTTGATTTATTTTTATATCTACCACATCCTGAAGGTCCTAAACACTTTAGGATCTACAGTATATCCTTTAGCCAAAGTTATCGTTATGCAAAGATCATTGAATAACATATATTGTAGCCTCTTATATTTACTGAACTTATAAGATAGCTCATGCTCTATTACAATGTCCTGAGTTCCTAGTTTTGTGATTTAGGACCTATGTTCTCTTGAGTCGCAGTTCTCTAACTTCACATGACCCAATAGTTATAGGCTAGATTCCTCAATATTAATATTTATTGCAGATTATACTTTATCTTAACTTTTATAATTATGATAGTTGACTGTATTGATTATATAAATAAATCTTGTTTTTTCTTTAAATTAAAAAGACTCTTTCAAAGATCATACTCAATTGTGACAGCAAAGTTGTCCAACACCTAGCAAGACTAAAACTTGTAATCGTGACTGGAACTGCTGACCACTGAACTATCGACCCATGAGTCCATGGACTTATATTTTAGAAAATTTTGCAATATTCAAGAAAGAAAATTTAATATAGAATTTTTTCATAATTGTATCTACAATTAATGCCACGTATTGACAAATAATATTAAAGCTCCATTCTAGTTACATACATACTGTATGTACGTACCTGGTTTTTGGTGGCGATCTAGTGGGTTTAGTCACTAAATTTATGTACTACAAGTTTTCCGTCCAACATTAAAAGCATAGGTATATTTAAAGTATTTCGAAGGCATTTTCGAATAAGTTTTAATTTCGAAAAATTTGAAAGTCTGACCGAGAGTCAAAGTACTATCAAGTCCAAACTTTCATATGGTATAATACGAAATTTTATCAATAATAAAATCGAAAAAAAATGTTAATGTTGTTAGATTGAACGAAATCTATTAAAAAATATATGTTTAGATCAATGAAAATTTTTTATTAAATTCTATGAATTCATGTAATCCAAATAAAAATTTTCATCTATTTTGAACAAACTGTTATCGAGATATCTTCGATAAAAAAAAATTCGGTGATTATTAAAACAGAAGTTAAAGCAAACTTTTTTCCAAACTTTGAGAGAATATATTTCGAAAAACAATTTATTGATAGATATTTTTTATTTCAATTCTCTGAATTATAAGTCGAGATACCTTTAGAAAAAACTTTGCCCACACTTTGATAGTCGTTTAAACTTTGAGAGAATATATTTTGATAAACACTTATTTAAAATCGATGAAATTTTGTTTTGTTTTAATTCTATGAATTCCGGGAATTTAAATAAAAAAAATTAATCGATGAGTTGTTCTCGAGATATACTCGCTCAAAGTTTGGAAATAATTTAGGCGACTATCAAACCGGTTTTTCTAAAATTTGAACGAAGATAACTCGATAACTACTTATTCAAAATAGATGAGTTTTTTTTTTTAATTCAATGAATTGGTAAAATTTTAATATAAAAAATTTTTCAGAACCGTAAACTCTACGATAGATTGATTATCTTATCAGTTATACTATGGCAAATTAGAACATTGATACATTATTGATAAATTATCGAAGATAAGAAGCTTCGGACTAAATAGTGAGTCAGGCTTTTGACTTTCGGTCAGACTTTAGACTTTGGTTAGACTTACGACTTTTGGTTAGACTTACGACTTTCGGTCAGAGTTTCGACCTTCGGTTTTGCACTTTCGGCATGATAGATTTACCGAAAGTATTTCGATACACTAAATACTTTCAGCCAACAATCTTAGGTATATTCCTATTATTGATCGTACTGATTAGAGATGCAGGCAAATCGTCCCAATGATGCCGTAACTTTGCCGTAACATGCCATAACTATATTAAATAATTATAAAAAGTTACAGCAAATGTGC